CTGTATTACAATACATTCAGATCAGTCTCTTGCTCAAGAGAGCTGACAATTAATTAAAGAAATATATATCTGTTTGAGATTTAAAAGTGTTGTTTTTAAAGTGCAAAGGAAACTAGTAATCCCTTACCGCCCTACTCATGAAGATCTCGTAGACAGGTATTCAAGTTTTGTGGTCAAAAATTTGACAAATTTGCTCAACATCACCAACATTTATTCGGCACAGAAAAAAATCGCTTCTTTCATGGCCCTGACATTTAATTGTGATCATGTACTGAAGCCAAGGTTTCAATCATTCATTTTAGTCTTTCATTCAAACGACTGTAACCGTGCCATATGTAGCAACGGTGACGTGACCGAGTCAAGTGCGGTTTTCTCACCGAACGGGTACACCTTTATGAGTCAAAATATGGAACTGATCACAGGCACTGCCGCTAGAGATTGTGGAACTGAATTACGGATATGGGTTCATATCCTTTTGGTTACACCGCCAATTTTGTACATTTAGATCCGCCATGTAGAAAGGGTTCAGTGAGAAAGAGTTTCTGTGAGTTAGAAAGAGGTTCTGCAAGCATCCACCGGAGTGTTTCAGGAAGATAAACAATTAATGAGGAAGAGCAAAACCCGTTTGAATATAAGTTTTAATTGCAGTATGAAAACTCTGTTATTCTCTGCGCATGACTGTCCTCCGCAAATCGCATAAATAAAGTGGTTTGTAAATTACTGAATTTATTTAAGCATTTATCTTATGTTGATCGGAATACGTTCTCTTTCAAATACTGGTTGATCGCACCATGTAGCTCATTACTTTCTCAGTTTCCTTGCTCAAGCCAAGGCGTAGCAGCCGTTGCTTGGAATCTGATTCGCTCATTTCATTATATTTTCAGTTCGTGATCCTACAGTGGACTGTTCAAATCTGACTGCTAGATGCACCTTCCAAGCAGGCATGTGTTCGACTTCCAAGTCTGTAAGTCAATACGGGCAGTTGGATTTCTGTATGTTTGTGAGACTATCATCTTCAGCCGTTTTCATAAACGGAATATCTCTGGTTTGAGATATCTCTTGTATTCGCAGCACTACAGTGCCTTTGCTGTGATATAGAAGGAACAATTTCTCTCTGAAAGCAGATGCGCTTCTACTTTGTCCCTCCAGACTGAGTGCTGGCCTCACGGCGGACGATTGCCGTATTTCCGCCCTCATGCGAGGAGCTCCCGGACCCGATTAACGATTTCTGCTCAATTCGTTTTACAGGGTCAGCTTCCCTTTGTTTATATCCACATCTACTGAGGTCACATTGACCAAGAGGAAAATAGGCCTTCCTGTCATTTAACCTTCATTATGCGCCGAAGCCAACGCTGTTGAACGCAAATCAATCGCTGCTCTCGCTCTTTCGTTATGACAA